ATACACTTAGGTGCCATAAGGGTAACCGGGTGAAGTCAGTGGTGTTAAATTAAATAGTATATAGTACTAGTAATAATTGATCCTAAAATGTAACTATAAATTTGTATTATATTAAATTAAGGCTAATAAAAACCAACTGGCATTATCACCAAAAAAAAAAAAAAAAAAAAATAACAAGAGAATGATGATCCTAGTGTAGTAATTAAGTTGTCATCCTCCAAGCAGTAGGTCCAATGTTTAATTCTTATTAGCAACAGATTTTGGAAAAATAGACCTATTTTGGCAAACTTATTTGTAATCTGGAGTTTGTAGATCTAGTAATTCTGGTTATATCAAGACTAACTTTGGAAGTGTACAATGTTATACAAATAAATTTGGAAAGTATATACTCGGATTAGAAGCCTGCTTGGAAATTCCAAGCAGAAAGATAGTACAACTTTCAATGGTGCCACTTGTAAATATCTTAATTTGCTGAAGAAAACCTAAGGCAGGTGACCTGTATAGGCAAGAACCTCTAGGTAGAAGGTTTACCAACCTGGCTACTAGTTGATCTAGGCATAAAGTTGCATTATGCAGAGCTAACTGAATTGATAATATAGGAGGACTTGCAAGGATAGATGAAGTAATGATGAGATTGTAAAAGGAGGGTACTGGGGTTGTATAAACTTGGCAAGAATTATAAACTAAGTTTAGTTGTAATTTGGAATACAGAAGGCTTTAGTAATGATGTTTTGAGAATAATCTGCATGAAATAAGGCAGAGGTCCTAAAGATATAGATAAGCATCTAGAACTTTTCGACTGACATTGTATAATAAAGATGTTCTAATAATAACAGTAAGGATTGCAGTACAAAAGGTTTAAATAGGCAACATGCATAGTTGGATTGCAGATATGACAGCTAATATAAAACCTATATATAGGTGAACTACTTAAATTAGACACCAAAAGTGTACATGTGGCTAGATGTACTCTCTAATATAAGGTAGCTCCTTTGAGGTAATCAGTTTATGAGCTACCATGTTCTACAATACTAAATAAAAAAGCTCTAGTCCTCAAAAGACTAGTTTAATAATAATAATAATAATAATAAAAAATAAAAAAAAAATAACAAAATTTTGTTAGTAATTCTGAAAAGATTATTATAAATAATATACTATGATATAATGATTTTCAAATTTATTTAACAGACCAATCCACAACTACAGAAATAAGATTTTTCTCTTAAATATATTTACTTATTGTTGAAATTGAAACAGCAATATTAATAATATTAATATATGATTCTATTATATAAAGACAAGATTCATAAGTATTATATTTTTGATCGATCTTGAGTTTTTTTTTTCTTTTAGACAAATATTATAACTGTGAACAGTTAACTCTTTAAGCTTATTTTATCATCTACAAAACAAAATTTTTAATATTTATTATGAAAAAGTAAATATAATTATATAAAATAACTTTCAATTTCAAATTTAATTAACAAAATATTAATCAGTATAAGATTATAAATAACCTGCTTTAATATTATTAACTTACTTTTAACTGAATTAATTAAAATTATAGCAAGTGTATCAGGGTCAATGTTATAGCAATAATGGGTATTTTTATAGAATAAATATTTTAATAATTATCTATATTTAAAATTAATAAATTATTAATACTATCTGAAATCAAAAAACTTTTTTCAATAATCACTTAAACCAAACTAGCACCAAAACAGTTTGAAAAGTTATGCTTTTAAATAGATAAAATCTTTGATTCTGTTCTATTATATAAAGCAGATTGTTGTTAATGAACTAGAAATATACAAAAAAACCAAAATGTGGATGACTCTTTTGATAGTTTGTGTTAAGGTCAAACCTTGCTATAAGCAGACTCCTCGATATGTTTAGTATCCAAATCAGAAGAAAATTCCGAAAACAATAGAAAAAACTCTAGTTAAAGGTTATTAGAAGCTTAAAAACAGAACAAACAACTAAAAACACTCTCTTTAGTTTGGCTCTTCACATATCATACTAGTTGACTTTTTTTATAAATTTTATTTTTTTTATCTAAAAATAGAGAATTTGACTTCATCTTTACAAAAGATTGATATTATTTATTTCTTCTTTTTTCAGACAGTTATATATTGTAATATAATGTAATAGGGACACAACAATCATGTGTATGACCTAACATATAGTGTAATAAAGAAACAAAGAAGAATTTAAGTTGAAAGATTATAGTAAATTAGAGATATATAGTAATTTCTAGAATCATGTATATAGAATTTTTATCTCTTTAACACAGATTAAAATGTAATTAAATCCATATACAGGTTTAAAGTATTAGTGATTATACTGAAATGGTTACGAATAAAATATGCCTCCTAACACTTTTATTTTTTCTTTTTCTTTCTGTAAACTTTTTTTAATTTAGTTTAATGTTTTTTTTTCTTTCTTTCACTTCCTTACAAGAAAGTGTTATCAATTTAGTAATACTCTATTGTAAAGCAATGGTCAGGAATAATCTTTCAAGTAGTAACTTGTTACTGCCTAATGCAATAGGTCACTCCTAAGCATTCAAAGAAGCAGTCAGGAGAGTTGGGACTAAGAAATTAAGCTTGTAGTATTAGCAGAAGTGTTAATCTTTCCTTAATAAAAGTTTACCAGCATGACTACTTAAATAAAAAAAATAAAATAAAAATACTATCTGAAATGATTGAGTTTACTGTTTGATGTTTTTCAGACACAGCTTTCTTTGTATATGAAATTGAACAAGATGTTGTTGTTAACCCTAATGTTACCAAGATGTTAATTGTCGAATTAGGTGTTCCAGTAGATTCTAAATGCATTCCAAGATTTCTTTTTGCATTATTAACAAAACCCTACCCCTAATGCTAGTCAAATCTCACGTACTTTTAGCGAAATGACAATCATTTCCTTTTTTGGGCTTGTATCACTTGCAGAAATAAGTAAATCTCAAACAATGTATAATTATCAGTGGAATGCAACATACCCGGGTTGTACGTACTCTAAACTGTATAAATGAAATAAACCAATCAACCTATAGAAGTTTGTGGAACAGTAGGTTGTCAATAAAGTAAAACATAATAACTACGTACTGAACAAAATAAACTTCTTTGCTTGGTTACCAATTAGACGATGTCGCTAGAAAAAACAACTAATTCAATTAAACCATCGCAAAATGCTGCTCCTAGTAATGGCTTCTCAATGCAGATTCAGTCTAATAAAAGCAAAAACAAAAAGTTAGAAAAAAGAAACCTGTCTCTTTTTGCTTCAGAACCGAACAAAAAGCGTCGCATCACAGACGACGACATAAATCAACCAACGATTGAACTTGTAACAGGCTTCGAAGACAATCAGATTCAAAGGTTGGTTTTTTATACTTATAATTTAACTTGTAATTTACTAATTCAAAATAACTTAACGAATTGTCTGCAAACCTACTGATCGTTCACTATACTGTTCAATAAACGTTCAGTCTAAACCCGAAGGAAAGATCTGATCTCCCAATAACTATCCCAGCATTGAAGAACGCAGATTGGTTAGAGCGAAGTCAAGCACTTGTTGCTGCAAGTTCCAAAGAAAGTGACAAGGTGAAAACCACAAGCGTTAAAAAACTCGATCAAACTACAAGCGTTAAAACGCTCGATAATTCTATAGTGTCGCTAAAACAACAGGCTTTGGATGAAATTTTAAAAGGTTGGTTCTTCTTCTACCACTGACCAAATTTATTATTGCTTATTTTTAAACCGATTGATATGTTATTTAGGCCCGAAAACTGACAATGATATTGAGCAATCGGAATCAACACTGGTATTGCAAGTAGAGAAAAACAAAAATCTCAATTCTAAAAAAGAAAAGGTGTCAGACTTGGAAGCATTTCGGCGTGAAGTAGCAAGTTTACCGGATGAAGTAAATATGTTTCAATTCTATGAATTATTTATGATATAATGTGCTTGCATATTAAGACTTAAAACATTTCAGGCCGATATTGATTACACCAGCGTTCCAATAGAAGAATTCGGTGCAGCAATGTTAAGAGGAATGGGATGGAAACCAGGAATGACAATTGGAAAAAATCAGAAAATAAAGTATATAATCTTTTTTCATTCTCATAGTCTTTATGATAAATCAAGTGCATTGTTTCATGATTAACCAAAAAATTCTTCTGATAGATCTATTGAATTACGCGAACCAAAGGCACGTCCTACTCATCTTGGGTTGGGCGCGTCACCACTTCCTGCTAAGGATGCTCATGGTTTACGCTAAACCACCTAGCGTCTAACCTATCGTCACCAACTTAAAAACATTTCGTTAATCACGTGTGGCAAATCAAAAATTTTTACTCTAATGAATTTTTTGAAAAATAATATTATAAAACTTCTAGAATTAATTTTTTTGTTTTTATTTTTTTTTTTAAAAAAAAAAAAAAAAAAAAATAGAACTTTTTTTAAAATCAATTTTCTACTTAATATCTTAAAAGGCTTGTTATTTTTTTATTTAAAAATTTTATATACTTTTATTACAATCACTCGCAAAAACATTGACCCAACGTTGACTTCAATGTTGACCTAACACTAACCTAAAAACAACCCAAGAATGACGAAAGAGTCCGAAATAACGAAAAAGCACCAAAGAGATCGTTAAAAGAGCAACAAAGAAAAGCACCAAGAAAGTAATGAAAAAAGCATCGAAAAAAGAAACTAACTAAATTTAACCAGTGATGATTTCACTACCTCTTATTTTTATTAAAATTTAATTAAACATCTTACTTAATAACCTAATCTCAATTTCTTAAATTGTTTGAGATTTTTAAGGTAGTGATGCTAGGGTCTTAGTTTGACGCTATGATACCCTTATATAAAAACATGGTAATACGCAGGTCAAACTTTTTAAAAACATAAACTTTGTTTTGCGAGCTGGCAAAAAAGACCCATGCGGACCTCTATCACATCTTATCAAGCTCTGGAAGTCGCCCCTCTGTCTAAACGTATACACATCACCCTGGAATGTTTTATATCGGTCTAATTTACAAATATAGGTGATATAATGATCACTAATCAGGATTTTCTTATAGATCAATGGTAGTGTAATAGTACAAAATATAAAATTCAAACCGCAACTAGAGGTTGGAGCCGGTTTTATTTATAGAAACCGGTTTTAATCGTTTGCTCAAAATTGAACCTGGTTTTAAACCAAATTTGAATAAAACTGGATAATTCGATTTTACACTTGTAATAAATTCGCAAACCCGAATCTAAGTAAAGCCGCAAAACCGAATTTAAATAAAACCGGATAATTCGAATTGCGGTTGTAAAAAACAAACTTATATACACAAATTCTTAGCATTCTCTTTCGTATAAAGATCATCAGTACTAGGTACACTAGGTATACAGTGACAATCATAAATAATGAAGCAAAAAAAAAAAAGGGTTCGATCATATTATTTCATGCAATTCGGGATGAATTTTCGATTTTTTTTTATTAAATTCGCAAATAGTATTGTTTTCATCAATAAAATTAAAAAAAAATTGAACTGAATTTGTCATGGGCACAAGTCTTATTTAAATTGACATGCTGATTATTTTTGCTTATTTTTTACAGCAGCATTACTGCAAATACCAAAAAAAAAATTTTTTTTAAATTGTTTTTCATCTTTACTATTGGGTGTAACCACCTTGAGCTTTAATTACATCATGAATATGTGTTGGTATTGACTTAATTAGGTTTGTATAGGTTTTGAGATCAATTTTCTGTCAAACCTTTTGGATCTTTTTTTAAAAGTCTTGTTTGTTTGAAATTTGACTAGAAAGGTTTCTAAAATGTTAGTCTACTTTAATCCATAAGTATTCAATAGGGTTAAGATTGGATGATTAGGAAGGTTAATCAAAAACTTAACTTTATTTTTTCTAAACAGGTATTTGATCAAAATTATTGTATGTAAAGGTATATCAACTTATTGAAAAACAATATTCTTAACATCAAAATTATAATCTTTTATAGTTTTTAAAAAACCTTTTAAAGGATTTGTTAATATAATTTATTATTTATTGTATTATCAATTTTGCAAAAGTTATTAACATTATAAGAGATAAAACAAATTCAAATCATTATTAAACCATTCTTAAATTCTATTATAAGTTTAATATAGAAATATATAAATATATTTTTTTAAATATTAAGATGAGTACTTGTGACTCAGGATTTTATTGATAGTATATTTGGTTAATGGTTGCATTACAATTACAGAGGTCTGGGTCATTTTACTGACAATCATTTTTTGACACCTTAATTTGCTAACAATTTATTTGCTGAAAAGATTATTTTATAGACAATTATTTTGTTAACAGTTAATTTTACCTACAAGGTAAATTTATTGACATACATTTCACCAACTTCTATTTCATTAACAATTGTTTTACTAACAATTTAATTTATTAACAGTTATTTTACTAATAGTTCATTTTACTAATACTTTATTTTACTGACTATTATTTTACCAACTGTTATTTCACAGTCAGTAAAATGATAGTCAGTAAAGTAAAGCATCAATAAAATGAATTATTAATAAAATAACTGTCACTAAATTAAATTGTAGGTAAAATAATTGTTAATGAAATAGAAGTTGATGAAATGTATGTCAATAAATTTACCTTGTAAGTAAAATTAACTGTTAACAAAATAATTGTCTATAAAATAATCTTTTTAGCAAATAAATTGTTAGTAAATTAAGGTGTTAAAAAAATGATTGTTGGTAAAATGACCTAGACCCCAATTACAGAAAGCAATTATAGAAAGAGTATACAATTAGCTATTTGTACAACTTTAGTTATTATCTAATTTAAGTAGTCTGTCTAAAGGTTTTACACTAGCTGTCATATCTGAAACCTGCTTGTAGGTTTTCTATTTAATTACTTTAGTTTTTGTATCTACCTATCTACTTTAATTTACCAATGATCTCAACTGATATTGGTGAAAATATATTATAGTCACTAAGTCTTTAAAGCAGTTCTTTGAAATCTTTGACTTTGTATTAAATCTTTCAAAATCTTCTGTATTATATTCTTATAGTTGATCTAGTATTGATATAGCCAAGACAACACTGGCAGTTAGAACATACTATTAAACTACTATGTTCTTATAAAGTTCACTCTAATCTCGATATTGACTTCACAATATATCTTTACTATTTTGATATTTAATTTAAGTTCCTTCAAGCTACCATTTTAGATAGCTTGAAAAGGTAGATTAAAACTATACATCTCTGGTTTACATATTTGTTGGCATGTACTCTTTTTCTCTGAAACTTAAAAATTCTAATGGCCTGATTGGTTCATCTGGTTCCTCCTCAAAAACTAACACATTTGCCTGATTTCACAAGTTCTAGCACTGTTTCATAAATTTAGTCTTTACAGTATTACTGTCAAAAGTTTGGGTTATCTCTCTATTTGGGTTTTCTAAGTAAGCTTCTGTCTTTTTTTTTTTGGTTCTTATGATTTATATAATCATAAGGACTTATTATAGATTTGCACTGTCTGGTATTAGTTTGCATTTCTTTATATAACTACAAATCTTGTTTCAAAGAACAATGTTATATAACTATTATACAAATGTCATGTGACTTGCCAGTTATACTGGTGTAATACGGATAATAGATATCTTATCTCAACTAATTGTAAAAGATAGTTAACTGTAATACAGAGAAGATTTTCAAATTTTCTGTCGACACTGGAATTTGAACTCTGAACCTGTTACTTGAAGATTGACAACCTAACCACTTCATTAGGTTGTTACACTCTAATATAAAAATATTTAATGGTTCTTTAGAACATTTCTAATAGTACTATTTTTTATTTGATTTAAAATTTTGAAACTTTAATTCATCAGATCAAATAATTTTTGATCAATCTTTAAAAATTTAATTTTTATATTTTTTATAAATTTGTATTATTCTTTTTAATTATATTTATTTAGATAAGTATTTTTTTTTTAACTTCTAATACTAAACTATTATTATAAAGTATATAATAAATAGTAGTTTTAGAAATTTTAAAGTTTTTATTTGTTTTTAAGTAGGATTATATTTATACAGAATTAGAGCATTAATAGAAAGTAATTAAATTTATAATTCTTCTTTAAGTTGGTTCATTTACTTTTGATAGATAATCAATATTTTTAAAATCTTTAATTGTATAATGTTTTGATTATTTTTGATTTATTTGTAAGACTAAAAAAAAATATTATAGACCTAACTTATCTGTCTTGTAATGTATCCTTTCTAAAATAAAAATAATATATAGTCTTTATAAATAGAAGTTATATACTTTTATTATTTTTTGTTTAATTATTAATTAATTTTAATATTATACAAGAAATTATCATTAATAATAAAATTTATTTTTATATTTATTTATCTTTTACAAAGTATATGTTTGATCTTTATTCAAAATGATTAAAAATAATGTATTATCTATTTTGTAATATATGTTTAATTATTTTTGTATTAGAAATAATAACTATTTTAAAATTCTATTACTGCTAATTCCTTATATAATAATCTTTTAAGTTATATAATGTTCAAGTTTTTGAATTTTCTACATATATATTTTATTTTTTTTTCATTAATGTTTGGTAGTAGATCTTATATAGTTAACTATTTTTCTTTATTTAGGTTCTTTTCTTTTTTTTCTTTAATATTTTTTATTATAATGTTTTCTTTTATAAAGTTTTTATTTTTTTCTATATTTTTTTATTTTTTTTTATTTTTTATTTTAGTATTAAGGTGTTCTTTTTGGTCTTTTGATTTTATTAACATATTTTTAGAAATATAGTTTTATAAGAAGCTACTATAAGAAGAGTATATAATTGGTCACTAGTATAACTTTCTATATTACTTATTTAAGGAGTTCATATAATATTCTTCACTAATTGCTATATCTAACATCTCTGCTTTAATGTTCTATTTAATCTCTCTGAACCTGTCCCATATTACTTTATCAGATTAAGTCTGAATTTTTCATCTCAATCTTAGAACTTTTTTATTCTTAAGATAAACCTACCAAAGTCTGCTGTTTACTTATTTTTGTAGCTAATCCAGATATTGTTATAACAGAACTAATACTTGCAGTTAAAGCCAACTATTAAATTGTTGTGTTCTTGTAGAGTTCACTCAGACTTCAGTACCTATTTCACAACATATTCTTAGTATTTTAGTATACCTCTGCTTCTTTTACCAAACTTTTAATTCAGATAGCCTATATAAGACTACG